ATTAAGCCAGAACGACCTGTCACAAAAAGAAGAGATTCCGGCGGTGGTTCGTCAACTCGGCAGCACTCCGACGATCAAGTCAGTTATCTCTCAAAGTTAGCAAAAGTACTTAACTCACTATTTAGAGCATAAAAAGCATACCTTAGACCCATGGGGGTGCCTCTCTTTTATAGCCAACACAAACCTAGTCCCAATAGAAGCCTAGCTTCAATGGACTTAGGATTACTGCTAATCTTGGACTCCCAGTAGGATTGTGATAAACTCTCTAAGAGTCTTATCTTTACCCAAACTGAAGTCCTCTCTCATTCTAGGACTCTTGTCCCTTATCTGCTTATCCCGGATTCCGGTATCTTTGCAGATAACCTCGGCCTAGTCGAGATGATCTCGGCATCATAACCAGGACACATGGCACCTCGGCTGGCACTTCGGTGACACCTCGACCACGTGTTGTCATTCAAAAATTATGTCCCCACAACTGCCCCATAGGTTCTATTACCTCGGCATCCTGAGGTGATGTAACCTATATCATTTCTTCCTTTAATCATGACCCCGGTTTAACTTCAGCTTGTAAATTTTTCTTAAAATTTCAACAAGTGTTAAACATGACCTCGGTTTAACTTCAACATATAAATTTTTAAAATTTCAACAAGTGTTAAACATATCATCGGTTTAACTTCAACTTGTAAATTTTTCTTAAAATTTCAATAAGTGTTAAACATGACCTCGGTTTAACTTTAACTTGTAAATTTTTAAAATTTCAACAAGTGTTAAACATGACATCGGTTTAACTTCAATTTGTAAATTTTTAAAATTTCAACAAGTGTTAAACCAACCTTAGCTTGTAAATTCTAACTCTCAACCATCGTTCTCCAGCCCTCTTTGATTCTCCATGCCCAACCTCCCGTGAAGACCGGTGAGAATGCCCCTTTACCCTGTCGTGCTGAGGGGCTACTGTAATTGTGTTCTGCCCCCCCCCTTTCTAGGCATCTTTCTTGGCTGCTGGAATTGGCGTATCTTGTAGTAGGAACGGTGGCTGCATGACGTTGTTCTACATCATGAAATTGACGACCATTTGCAGGTCCGTCAATTTGTCCACCATTCCCTTCATCTCGTTGTCCCTCCGCAGGCATTTATCTTTCCATACCTGGAGGTCGTCGTCGTTATAATACCTATTTCGGTCCGATTTCTTCAGTACGCCGCCCTCCTAGCCGACGTCTTTTCCTCCGTGATTCTTATCACGAGTCTCTTCGTTGTAGTTGTCTTCTTCGACGTCAAGGTCAATATGTTTCCCACTCTTAGTAGGGGTATCGTCCCCAACTTTCTCTTTCTGTCTGTCGTTGGCCATCTATTCTCCTTTCTTTTCCACAGAAGGCGCCAAATTATGTGTGTCAATTTCTGGCCACACTACCAATCAAGCACTCAGCTAGAGAACACTGGCAGAATAGATTAAGCCCAAACGACCTGTCACAAAAAGAAAAGATTTTGGCGGTGGTTCGTCAACTCGGGGGCACTTCGACGATGAAGTCAGTTATCTCTCAAAGATAGCAAAAGTGCTTAACTCACTATTCAGAGCATAAAAAGCATACCTTAGACCCATGGGGGTACCTCTCTTTTATAGCCAATACAAACCTAGTCCCAATAGAAGCCTAACTTCAATGAACTTAGGATTATTACTAATCTTGGACTCCCAGTAGGATTGTGATAAACTCTCTAAGAATCTTATCTTTACCCAAACTAAAGTCCTCTCTCATTCTAAGACTCTTGTCCCTTATCCGCTTATCCCGAATTCCAGTATGTTCGCAAATAACCTTGGCCTAGCCGAGATGATCTCGGCGTCATGACCAGGACACGTGACACCTCGGTTGGCACTTCGGTGACACCTCAGCCACGTGTTGTCATTCAAAAATTATGTCCCCACACCAAGTGTTGGGGCAGACTAACAATCCCAACATGCAAGGCCCATCTGAAGCCCTCCGACTTATGAATCCATTCCCCAAATCTGTAAACAAACAGGAGTTATGTTCACTATTCATCATTCACAGTCCACTCCGGACTGTGAAAGAGGGAAACAAACAGGGCCTTAAATCCTTCGAAAAATTAGGCTTCAGTAGTGTAAAATGATAAAGTCATATTGATTACGGGTAATGTTAAGAAATTCAAATGTTTTATTAATATTTTTATCAAATATTTTATATGAGTATGAGACCCACACCGTGTGAATGTGATATGAGTCTCATATTTATGTGAGATATTTAATAAAAATATTAATAAAATAACATTTTCGATTGGGAAATTAACATTTTTGATTTGGGTCATGCAATCGTGGAAGAAAATTGATTTTGTGGAAGGGCCAACTTGAAAGTGATGAGATTGAGGTGTGAAAGAGCTCAAACTACTTTCGTGAAATTTTGTCTGAGCATTATTTTGTGGATTTAGAGGGGTGAAGTGTGAAGTGGGTTTCTTGGAAAAATGAGTGAGGGAGAATGAAAGAGATAAGTGAGGAGAGAGAATTTCTAACACAAGCAAACTTTCCGTCACTTTATGACGGATTGATTAGTGATGTTCTTTGACAAAGAAAATTGCTGTCAGTCTGTTATTGGGTTTCACACATACATGCATCTGTACATAAAAATTTCTTCGTACAACAATGATTTAGACCATTAAAAAATATACTATTAATAACACTAATACATTGAGAATGGCTAAAAAAAAAGAAAAAAAAGAAAAAACAAGGCATAGAAAGTGGACGGGGCTTACTGCCACATCATTAATGCTCCCCTAGTGCTTCTTTTTTAGTGCTCCCAAGCATTTTTCTTTCTTCATATTATGCTTTCGTTTGGGAAGTTTTAGATCTCATTTAGTAAGATTATTTTTTAACTTAAAAATCAAAAAATTATAAAAAAAATTAAAAAGTCAATAATTTATATCAAAAAATTAAAAATTTTATTTTCTCTTTACTTTTTATTCATATTTTCGTAAAAAATTAAAAATACATTCCAAACATATTAATTTTTTTTAAATAATATTTTAACTAAAAAGTCAAAACGCTACTAAAAAAATCTATTCCCAAACGAGGCCTAGTCCCAATCTTTTTGGCTAAAATAGTCAAAAAAACAAAATAGACCTTTTAGTTTAATAAGACAAAATATCATATACAACCCATAATCATTACAATTTTTCTCTCACAAAAGTTAAAAAAGTCAAAAAATCTATCCCAAATAAAATTTTTTAACCTCAAAGTAAAATAGATAAAAAACTAAAAAATTAAAAAACCAACATACTTCCCACACCAATCCTATAACTTATTCAACCAAAAAAAACAGAAAAATTTTCTCCATATGATTTAACACTCTCAAAATCAAGGTGATCCTGCTGGATAATTTTTGGAGAGGAGGAGAATCTTATCAATACTTTGGGCCAAAGACTCTTTAAAATCCACGTTATATTACTACTAAAAATTGGACTTTTTGTAACGGTTTCAAACGTTGCAAAAGATTCATATATTGTCCCAAAGTTTTTTTGCGACGGAGTAGCAATTGGAAATGAGGGGTGACAGAAGGGGGCGTGACAAAAAGTATTTGTGATGGTTACAAACTATCGCTTCCTCATAGTGACAGTAAATCACTATTTTTTGCGACGATTTAAACTGACATGAAAAAGTAATTTTTAACGACGTTTTCAGATGCCGTCGCCAAAAACTTTTTTGGAGACGGTAGTTGACGTTGCGAAAAGTATTATTAACGACGGTCTTAAACGTCACAAAAAAATAAAATTAAATCAATAATGTATTCGGAACAGTTTACATCGTTGCTAAAGATGACACTAATATGTATATGCGACAGGTTAATCCGTCGCTAATAAAATGCAAGGAAATGATGATTACATCAGCGATGGTTTATTATTGTAGCAAAATAATTATTTTCATAAAACAAATATATATTTTATTAGTTCATTCCCTGTACAAATTATTAATATTTTCTAAAATAAAATACATCCACACCCAAACACATCCACATTCACATTCACATTCACATCTACAAAATCATATGTCTATATGTACCCCTTAACAATTGTCAACTAAATATTCTTTACAAAGGATACGTAAAAGTCAATGGGCAGGAAATTTGCCCAAAGAGAATTGTCAATTATAGCAATTTTTGCAAGATCAACACCTAAAACTGTTAAGTCCTCGGTGTAACTTCCATCTAAAAAAATGCATGATTCACGATAAGCTCGACGAGAGATAAGTTTTCTATCTGGATCCATTATATCCAGAAGCTGTTCTGCATAGATGCTTTGACTGGCTGTGAACACCACAATTTCAAACATCTTAGCAACCCTCTCTAGGAACATCTGAAGGTAAGGCCTCTGTTTTACATAGACTATGTGCTCTTTCATGTTGAAAAAGACTGGAAAACTAAAATCCGCATCTTCACAATGTTCCAACGTAGAGTGGACAAGTGTTTCTGCACAAATGAAAGCTAGTGTGACCAACCTTTGGAAGCATCAACTTATGTAAAAATTCTTTAAAATGATTCGTAGAAATACAAGTACACTCGAAGTTGAAAGTTCACTATAGGTGTGGATCATAAATATTATACTGACACAACCGAGAAATAAACTAGATAAGATAATGAAATAATATCAAGATTAATAGTAAACAAATCAAAGGAGTTCAATTATCTTACTATCCAAATCCAGTACTACGGTAGTGGATTTCATTTGCTGATGTGATCATGGATATGCTTTACATATACAAAAGATATTTCAGAATCTGAAGATTTTAGTTCAATTTTTGCAGAACTAGTCACCTCGTTTGGTTTGGACTAATTTTCTAAAAATTAAGACTTTTAAAAGATGGCATAAGCTGATGCCCTATTCTAGTCATTAAAGCAGAAAAATTGATCAATATAATGTTAGAATATCATTCTCGTAAGAAGTTGCCATAACAACTATAGTCACCAAAAGCCAAAGAACCAAAAAAACAAACAAAAACCCAATGAACCTTCAACCTTGTGATCACATTTTTTAGAAAATCACCAATCCATCATCCAAGTTTCAAAGATCAAAACACAAAATCAATGACTCCACTTGTTAATGAAGAATTAATTGCTTTCACCAACCAAGCCACACAAACCTTAAACAAGACAATGACATCCACCTAATTTGAGACTCACAAACAAAGTTAAAGTGACATACTATTTGTCAAAGTAAAAATGTGAAATAGGATGCTGCACCCACAATTATACAATGCTTGCATATATATGGCAAATCTACATAAAAACTAGCGTCGAATAAGATAATAGGTCCGCCTTAGGATGCGTAGAGTTTTCTTGCCTCATCATGTCCACAACCTTGGCTGTAAATTGCTTCATTTCCGCCTAAAACAGAAGAACAATGAGCATAATGAGCATATTTAGGCCATCAATTTAAAATTTAATAGCAGGACAAAGTGAGAGGGAATACCTTGAATGGCTCATTATCAATTTGAAACTGAATTCCAAGTACGAAATGCAACCAAAGAGCAAATCCACTATTCAAAAACAGAGTCTATAAGGCAAAGTTCACTGATAACTTAAGCGGTGTAGTGGATCTAGATAAGCTTCTAAAGCTTAAAAATCTGATCTGTCTTGATCTCTCACATAATGGTTTCTCATTGAGCATCAACAACAGTGTCAACTCTACCTTGACCAACTTTGAAACTATAAGATTAGCTTCTTGCAACGTGAGCGAATTTCCAAACTTCTTGAGAGAACAAGCCAGATTGTGTTTTCTAGATCTTTCAAACAACAAAATTCATGGTGAAGTTTCAAAATGGTTATTCAATGTGGGGAGAGATTCATTGCATAATTTAAATCTTTCTCATAATTTCCTTACAAGTTTAGAGCGTCTTCCATGAAAGAATCTGGGATATATTGACCTGCATTCCAACTTACTCCGAGGACCACTCCCTGTTCCACCTAACACTACATATGTTTTCTCTATCTCAAACAATAAATTGACTGGAGAAATCCCTACATTGATTTGCAATCTAAGTTCACTTGGAATTCTTGATCTGTTTAATAACAATTTGAGTGGGTTGATTCCACAATATTTGGGAAACTTCAGCAATAGCCTCTCGGTGCTGAATTTAGGGATCAATAGCTTTCGTGGCACATTTACAGCAACATTTACCAAAGGCAACGTGCTAAGGAATCTTAACTTGAATGGTCCAATTTTGACATTATTTGATTCAAAATCGATTTTCCAAAATGATTTGCCAGATTAGACTCTTTGGTGTTTATCAGTCTCACATTTCACTTTGTGAGATTAGATTCAGAACCGTGACAGG